CGCCGAATATCTCACGGCGCTTCGCGCTTGGTGATGTGAGAGCCTGGTCCGGTGAGAACCCGGCGTGCTCCGTCCCGGCTTTGTAGGGATGCAAGGTCAACGGTCTACCGACTACGGCATGCAGTACTATGAGCACACACACACACACACACACACCGGTATCACACACGCGCACACCTCGAAGAGACGCTGGTGATCGAACGACTTCCCGTCCTGCGAGACGAACTTGGGCAGTACAACGCTGCCGAGGTTGCAGACCGCCACCTCGCCGGGGTCCGTGTACTCCACGATCTCCGTGCACAGGTTGGAGGACTGGATGGTGCCCAGGTGCTTGTGGTTGCTCTTGCGGTTGCAGGCATCCTGCGAGCAAGAAGAGCCGGGAATGGCGGGCGGGCGGGACGGGGAAGGGTTGTTGAAGAGGGAGGAACGACAAGAGGGGAGGGAGGTGGTGGTATTCGTGTCTCTTTGTGCAGCAGCTCATTGTTCTGCCGCCAGCGTGGTTGAATGTTCATGGTGCCTGACAAGAAACGCGTACCACAGATGGCGTCAAGACACGACATGGGGTGCGTGTTGAAAAATCATTTGGGGTTTCGGCCAAACCATGATGCACAATACATGGGTGCACCGCCGTACATATCACCATGGGGCAAAACAACACAAAACAGTAGCGGTACAGATGTTGATTGTTCCATGTTTTTATTTCGGCAAAGACAGACGGCGCGGGTACTCGACAGCTCAGACGATCCGCCAACTCCACCCCCCTACCCCCGGCCAAGCAAACATCCACCCACCCACCTTGTACATCATGTAGGGGTTTCCAGTCTCCGTCTGGGCGTCCAAAATGGCGAACCACAGGTCCTGCGCCCGCACTTTTCGCATGTACTTGCCCTCCTACGGCCGGCAAGCGAAAGGGGGGAGGGAGGGGGGGAGTATACTCATAGTCGTGCACGCCGTAGGCGTTAGACCATTGACCTCGCATCCCTACAAAGCCGGGACGGAGCACGCCGGGTTCTCACCGGACCAGCCTCTCACATCACCAAGCGCGAACCGCCGTGAGATATTCGGCGAGTCGCATGAAGGGTGCGCTGCATCCTGCTAAGGGTTTTCGGCATCTTGTGCTTACTTCCTTGCGTACGGATGACAGCTGCGTATGACTT